CGATTTGTGTTTGCTTGACTCCTTCAATGGACACAAAACCGTCACGAGGGAAGCCGTGAACGCACCACATTCGCCCCTCACAGACGCAATTACTCTGTCTCACCACCCATCTCCTTTCTTAGACTCCACTCTCCAATAGCGTCAATGGCTGCCCACCCTCCTTACCACAACGAAGGTCTGACACCACAGACCCGTGGATACTCTGATCCCCCTAATTCCACACCAAGCCCATCACCGTTTGTGTCACCTCCCAATGCTTAAAACACGTATCATGCCAAATACAGGAGTGACCTAGACGACAGTGCATGCAACATCCCATCAACAACGCATGCAGTCGAGAAGCGCCACGCTACCCACTCATCTCACTGCACTGCAGACAAGCAGAGGGGTAAAAATTATCCCAGGGGGAGGGAAATGTGTAGAGCAAAAAGAAAAATGCGCACTTACCAGGAATGGTGGGAACACCATTGACACTGGCCATCGTTGGTTGTCCAATTATTGTGGCAGTGGTGGCCGTACCGGGCTGACCAGGTCCAGAGGCCCCTAGCGGAGTACGAATTGCGATGCCGGCAAGAGAGTTGGCAAGACGTGGCTGCACTCCAGCCGCCTGTGGGTTCAGTGCCGCCGCCAACACAATCGGTGGTCTACCCGCTGTGGTCCCGGGTGCCTGCACAGACGTGCCAACAGCCGAACGTAACACCAAACCTGTCGTCGGCGTCGCCGCAGACATCGTCAAGGGCGCATTTGGACGCGCGATCGGCGCGAGCGTACGCATCCCACCACCACCACCACCACTCACACCCGCCAAAGAGTTCGGCTGGATGGGCAACCGCGAAATGGGAATCGGCATTCCCTGCTGACCCACGCACGTCTGCTGCAAGCACCGCCAGGCAAATGCATTACATGTACTAACCAACAAACCCATCGTCCGACAAACTAGTTGCACGACAAGTAAACAAACACACGAACATAAGGTAAAAGAACAAGCCAACAAGCATGTGTCAGCATTTGCGCACGGACTGCATTCAAACCTGCCTGAAATTGCGTAGCTTGCAGACGCTGCGCGTAGTGAACCGCGGTCTGAACAACGGGCTCTGGGTCGGCCACGTGAGTTTCAGCCAGTTTGGAGGACCACAGCTGATGGCAGAAGTGGAGAGTTCAGTGAGAGAAAGAATTAGGAGTACCTTTCGCAGCTGTTCCAACAAATCCAAATCAAGACCCTCCTGAGTGAAGGTCTCCTTCATGCCCTCGATTACATCGTTAATGACACT